CTGAAATAATTTATACTTTTAACGTATTCAAACTATTTCTAACTGTTAAAGGTAACTGAAATAATTTATACTTTTAACGTATGGCCATCGATTGAGTCTATTTGGGAGGATTATGACTACTTCTAACTGTTATAGTTAAATGAATAATTTACACTTTAAATCTAGTCTTATCAGTTGAATATTTGGGAGGTAAGTGAAATAATTTATACTTTTAACGTATGGCCATCGATTGAGTCTATTAAATTTGATTATGACTACTTCTAACTGTTATAGTTAAATGAATAATTTACACTTTAAATCTAGTCTTATCAGTTGACTATTTGGGAGGTAAGTGAAATAATTTATACTTTTAACGTATGGCCATCGATTGAGTCTGTTTGGGAGGATTGTGACTACTTCTAACTGTTATAGTTAAATAAGTAATTTACACTTTAAATATAGTCTTATCAGTTGACTATTTGGGAGGTAAGTGAAATAATTTATACTTTTAACGTATGACCATCGATTGAGTCTATTTGGGAGGATTATGACTACTTCTAACTGTTATAGTTAAATAAATAATTTACACTTTAAATCTAGTCTTATCAGTTGACTATTTGGGAGGTAAGTGAAATAATTTATACTTTTAACGTATGGCCATCGATTGAGTCTGTTTGGGAGGATTATGACTACTTCTAACTGTTATAGTTAAATAAATAATTTACACTTTAAATCTAGTTTTATCAGTTGACTATTTGGGAGGTATGTGAAATAATTTATACTTAAAACTTTATTTACATTTTAAGCTTAAAATATGTCAAATTCTTTTCAGTTTTGTTTAAATTCTAGCAATACTGCGAACACATATCACAAAAATATCATAAAACACACGCAGAAATCGTCATAATTAAATCCTTTTCTTTGTTAGAACAAGGTTCGGCTCAGAAACGAAAGTTGTGATTTTTAAAAGATAAATTTCCGGTATCGTATTACGGTAACGAACAAACAGAACATTCAACATTATGAATATTTTTTTAAAGAACAGTTCTAAGAAACGGACAAAGATTAAGTAGTATGTTATTAATCATTCATTAATACTAATTTGTAGAGAAATGTAGGGTTGGGAATCGTAAATTACAAACTTGAATATATGTTATTTTATATGTTAGATCCTTTGATTTAGAGAATGGAATTATATCAGAATAATATTATAAACATGAAGTATCTTCTAAATATATACTAAAAGTCCTTCTCAAATAAAATAATGTGTAATGCTATGAACAAGTTTTTTCTTTCTCTCTCTCTCTCGGCCGTTTATAATATTCTATATAATAAAACATTTACATTAAAAATATCTTACATTCCAGTTTGTCCTCTGGTCTTCCAGCTTCCAACAGCGTCAAGTAACAAACAATTTCTTTCAGTTGGACACGGAGAGCATGGATATCCACGTGACTACTAGCCTTCCGGAGTGGCTTCAGATCAACTTGTAAAAAACCGGACACGGGGATGAAAAGAGGAAACCACACGTAAAAAAAATACAAATATGTAATATATCAAAAAATGTAGTTAGAAATAAGAAACTAGATATAGGAGAGGGACGAATTATATATTGACAGAAAACATCTTGGGAATAAGAAATCAGATACAGAAAAGGAAGAAAATGTATAATAAATTAGAGACATTCATGGGGGGGGGGGAGAAACCCGAGAGGAGAAAGGATATATATATATAATAAATAATAAAATTTTCTGAATATCAGAAATGAGATACAAAAAAGGGTAAAAAAGAGTATCATATCAAACACATTATTGGAAATAAATTAAAATAGAAAATACAATATATATATATATATAATAAACTTTCTTGGAATTAAGAAGTCAGACACAAGAAAGAATACAGTTATATAATAGGCACATCCTTGAAAATGGAAAAAACAAGCACAAGAGAAGATAAAAATATGTAATGCATCAAAAACACAGTTGTATATAAAAAACAGACAAAAGAAATAATACAAATATTCAAGACGTCAAGAACATAGTCGCGAAAAATAAGAAAATTATATAATAAGTGAAAAAAACATTCTTGGAATTAAGAAATCATGCTCAAGAGAGGATATTATATTAGAAATAAATGAGTTTGAAAACCAGGAACAGATTATCGAGAAATGTGTGTCTTTATAAACCAAAATCAATGCTAGAAATAGCAACAAAACGCACGTGATAATTTATAATTTTCTAGAAGTTAACCAGTTTGTCTGTTAAATATGAAAATGGTTAAACACGAAAATAAGTTTCGTCAGGAAAATATAATTTAGAGGTAGTAATACTGTTAATTTTAGGAAAACATGTTTACTGAATGGATCTAGAAGGATATAATCCCAGAAAATACTTGAGTCAATGGTGTTTGCAGTACTTTACAAAGATACAGTTATGTTATCGATTAGAAGCAAAACTGGAAATATATAATGAAATACAAGAAGTAGAAAGTAACGAGTTGAACACCGAGGCCGAAATTTAATAAATGTAATAAAAGATAGATGCTTGTGAATTTCTAATAAATAGTGGTCACAGACGAGAAAAGACAAAACTCACAAGTATGACAAACATATAGATACAATAATGAACGAGACAGGAAAAATAATATAAATATGTAGTAAATGGGTTTGGGAATAAGAAATCTAATACATACATATATAAACTGAAAAAGTATTGCATAATCTACACAACAAAAACACAAAGATGTACGGTATATACCATAAGAGTTCAAACACGTTGAAAAACACAATGTGCAAAATACAGAAAATAAGAAAGTTAGATTAAGATGGGAATGAATCGTGATATGTCAAAACACACTGCTAGAAATTAAAAAAAAGGGGCAATGGTACAAAGAAGTAATAATAAATCAGACGTGAAGTAATCAGTTCCGTTAAAGTATACTGTTTAATATATAACCCTACCTTACCCATTCCATTTCGTATTCTACATTCTGTTTGCTTTGTTATCTTACAATGTTCACTGTATACTGATTCATCATTGTATTTTGGATTTTTCTACATAGTCTGACAAATGCTTTAACATTCTTCTTCGTCATCATTGGTATTACAATATTTTTTTACTGTTTATTACGAACTTTCTACTTATTTCTTCTGCTGAAACTGTTCCCTTTGTAACGTCACAATAGTATTTTGAATACGATACTTTCTGGACCTGCAGTATTTGAATTGAATTTTTGTATTTTTTTTAAACTGTATAACCCAGTCTGCTAATTTTCTTGTAAGGTTATTTATAACTATGAGTTTATTATAAACCATTCGTAGATATAAATCATTTTGGTTTTACGTCGTCTTCAGCTTGTTTTCTTCTCCAAGAACTTAGGTGTGGAAAATCAATGTGAAAAAAAGAGAGAGAAAAAGATTCGTATTATGGAGTGAACGTTAAATATAGATAGTAAATATATAAGTCAAGATCAAGATCAGGATAGTGGTAGGAAAACGATCCGATGAATCTCTTTTATCGAAGAAATGGTGGGAGGTGTTGCGTGTAACAAGATAATAAAGTTTGCTTGTTGCTACACAACAGGCTATCTGTCTACAGCGAGTATCTATGCTCGATTTTTAAGAGCTAACCTATAAAGCCCTCAGTTTTGCCACTTAGCTTATGAGGGACTGTTGGATTCTTAGTTAATGAATTTGAATGATAAAACTAAACAATCCATTTTTCAAACCCGGCAACCAACCTGAACCAGTAGTTAAAAGGATAAGTTTACAATGGATACTAATTTAAGCATCTTTCCTTCTATAAATCTCAACATCTCAGTGGCAAAGATGTAAGTACATTAAACCTAAACAGTCTTTTTTTGTGCCAAGCAATTCGTGCGAAAACTGCCGGAAACAAAATAGCTTATGAACATCACAGTTTAAAATAAACATCTCCAAAAGGAAATACGAGATTAAAAATAGACTTTAAAAGAAATTGAATAAGCTTGAAACTTCACTTGACACTGAAGGTAAGTATTCTTGTATTTACAAATAAAACTTAAAACGAAAATATTACAAAATGCATTAATCGGAGCAGCATTACAGAGGCATTTTTAAGGAATTCGGAGGAAATAATCCACAGTGTAAAGGATTATAACTTCACTGAGTAAAGACTGGATAATTTTATATTTACTTTTATAAATTAGTGTATTGTTTCGAATTCCAATTCAATCAACCTGAAACTATTGTAACTGTTGCAGTATAGAAAAGTTTTACCAGTCATTTTCTAGAGAGATGTGTTTAACAATGAAGAGTTTTACAGGCTCTTATTCTAATATGACAGTTACTGCTGTATTGTGAAAAATAAATGAATATTAAAAACATAAGCGGAATAAACTAGCAAAAAAAATAAACCAAGTTGATACTGAAATTATACTTTTTTCTTCCTGGATTCTTTTTCGCGGGGTAAATAGGCACATCTTATTTAAAAGTTTATTTATAGTTACTTCAGGAACAACAAAAAAAAAACTCAGGGTATCTGTAAAACCTTTTATGGATGTCCAACTCTCATCGTTTCTGGTATAGCAATGACACATTTAATTGACAAAGTACACAATAATAATGTTTATACATTCCAGGTACTTATTCAGGATTGTAATTTTCAATTCTGACAATTAGTGGCTCTAGTTGTGTTTCTCGTTCAAGAACGGCGGTTGCTCTTGTGGTAGACAAACAGACGATACGTTTTCTCCTTCTTATTTTATTCCAACAAAGACTTTTAGTTTATTTTATTCTAGCTGTCTTTGCTCCTTTGCCATTCTCTAAAAATAACACCTGTTTTGCTTATGGTGTGCGTGTGTGGCTGTCATGTTGCACATTGTGCGAGAATGTAGACAGCTGTGTCTTCCAATGGTAGTTCCGGTGATATATTTAGGCTAAACTTCCTTTATGTTTGAATGAGAATGACCAGTCAAGTGGGTGTCATTAGTTGCTCTGGTAAATACCACATCATCTGTTAAGTAAGGTTTGTCAGATTTAAACAGATTGGTACATGCTCTTTAGTACGATTTAGTAAGAAGTGACTCTCCAACATCTAAGCAGGTACACACACTATGTAAGTGTTATTTAATAAATATTATTAATTTGTATTTTACATTATGTCCAGTCTTTAATTCATTCTTACACACTCAGTTTTTCTGAGAAATTTAGAACTACTTTATAACAAATTTCTTGTCGAATCTCCTGTTATTCGGCAGACCTATCCCACAACTTTAAGGATAAACAGTTTGACCTGACCAAATTACAAGGTAGACAGAGTAGATAAGAAAGATAAAATTTCTGTTCAAGAGTGTATTGCCTTTTATTCCTCCTCTTGTGTTTAATTTTGTTTTTTAAAGAAATTGCATTTTTCACAACCTGAAGGACCGAAGGACTTACAATCAAGATGAAGAATTAGTTACTGGAAGAAGACAGTTGTTTGAGATAGTTTACGAGTCTAGGAGAAGTACTCTTATCGACATTGGATTTTAGCCAATGCTGTGAAAGTCAATTACTTTCATTTTTCTACATAATGACTGAAAGGACAGTTACTAATGTCTGGTATACTAAGATGATTGTTAACGAGGGTTAAGCCACAGTTTGAAGGAAGCATGGAAGAAAGAGTATAGCAAAACAGATCACTCCCCCAACAATCATTGATGCATAAAAGAAAGATTTAGACCATTTCATGAAATGTTTGGAACAATTTGTGTACAGGAGAGACAGTACAGTGCTTGATCTTAAGTCTAGATGGTCTGGCTCTATCCTTCTACAGCATTTGAGCAAGGCACAACTTTATAACTGTGAAATTGTTATTGCCAAGTTGCTAAATATGTGGTCCAGAGGAAAGTGAACAATCAACTGGACCAAGTTCAAGGCTTGGAACAGGGTTTCCAAAGAAAGCTTGGCCACCTATGCAGATGATCTGCACCATTTGCATGGTAAAGATTATCTTATATTGACTTTGGTGGATCATGAGAATATCCTCATTTAATAAGTTTATTGAAGAGCTACCCAGTGAAATAATGAGGCTCCATCTGGGCGAGAGATATGATACCTCACCATTACTGAGGCAGTTTCTGTGGTGATGTGATATGAAATGATAACTTCAAATATGTCACAAGAGAGAGGAAGAAGCTTTCAATCGCTTTTACCTTGTCATGCCAAGTTCAAGTCGAGCCCAGGGTTAACTAACACTGCAATGCAATAACACTGGTATCCAGTAGATAGATAGTTCCATGGTTTACATGCCACACCCTATGCCGATGATGCCTTCATCCAGATGTCTTTCTGGAAGGTGGGAGTAAAACATTTGGTTTTCCTGTGGAGCACTTGGTTACTCCAATTGAACTGCTCATACTTTGCCATACTTGCAGAATAGACAAGTTTTGACTGATGAGTCAGCCTGTGTAGAAGACTCAAAATTATGTGGTGAACAATGCCACTACATCTCTATAAAACTAATGGAA